AGAGAGAGAGAGAGAGAGAGAGAGAGAGAGAGAGAGAGAGAGAGAGAGAAAGAGAGAGAAAGAGAGTAAGAGAGAGAGAGAGAGAGAAAGCAAGCGCGAGAGAAAGAGAGAGAGAGAGAGTAAGAGTGCATGAGATCGACCAGGAAACAAGAACGAATGGGATCACGTGAGCGTGCTTGTGCAAGTGAATCGGGGCAAAATTGCAAACAAATACGAAAAATAGGCTTTCCAGTCGAATCCCACTATTCCGACGAGAAGGCTCGATACTCTATCTGTATATCAGGTTGGCAAGCGAACGCGTCTTGCGACTCGAATTTAAAAAAAAAACAGAAAAAAACGTAAAAGGAAACCGCAGTAAATGAAAACGTTTCAATGTTTTGTTCACATGAGACTGACCCGGCCCGCCGCGGCCTCCGAGAGTTTGCAGTAAAAAAGGAAAAAAACGGGAATCTTCGATCGCGTCGCTCGATCGATCCCCGCGGTCTCGAGATCACGGGGTTCGATCGGGGATCGTCGGCGACTCTCGTCTTCGAGCTAGCAACCAACGATCTCCTGGCAATGACAAGGGTTAGAGGGCGGAAGACTCGAGAGACGGGGGTCGCATTACGTGAGAGCGTGTGATTAGAGTGCGTGCGAAAGAACCGATTAGAAAGAGCGAGAGAGAGAGAAAGAGAGAAAAATAGAGCGAGAGAGGAAGAGAGAAGAAACAATGGCAGAGAAGTCGCGTGCAACACTTCGATAGAGATCCGGCATACGGCGCAGTGTAAATAGTAAATTTCGTAAGGCTAAGTCGTAGGAGCCGCGAGTTTGGACGAGTTTCGTTGATTTCGAGAGAGAAAGAGAGAGAGAGAGAGAGAGAAGAAAAGAAAGAAAGAGGTGAAAGAAACAGCGAAATATACGCGGCGGGCCGCCGCCGACGTGTTATTGAGACGCTCGCCCCGCCCCCCTTTTGCCCCCGATAGATACAGCAGAGAAACGCAGGAAAAAAGTAAAAGAATACACTAACACGCGAAAATGGTATACGACTTAACACGGGTCATACAATTACACACACACACACATACATACACACACACAGAGAGAGAGAGAGAGAGAGAACATATAATGCGCACGTGCGAAGGATACAAAAGGAAGTAAAAACGCGTCAGCATCATGAAACCAGCGAGCCGAGAATCCAATCGATGGAAGACAAAATATAAATCGTGTAGGGCAAGGAACACAAACCAATCTTAAATCGCGTACGAAGACGAAAACGACACAGTTAATCGGTCGATGCTTGGGCAACAAAGCTGAAGGAGGAGCCGTCTCTCGCTAGTTTTTTGAGCGCGGCTCTGCCGGGAACCCCGAACGAAACACGCTGAGAGAGAAACCTAAACTTGTTGTGTAGTGGGGAACATACATGCATACACACATACACTCTCTGTATATTTATTGTACTCGAGGAAAAGAAAAAAGTCATTCCCTTTACGCTCTGTGTATCACCGTTCTCCTACCGCGACTCGTTTCGCACCCCGAACACCGCCCCGCGTAGAACTCTCCTCGTCGCTGTCCGAACCCAGTCCCTCCGCGGTCCCGGGACTCTTCGGGGACCGGGGCCCTCCACCCTCCCGTTCCTTTTGTCACGGCTCTAGCTGCTCTACTCCCCCGATCGCCTACAGACACTTGGCCTGAACTTGAAGGAAAGTTGCGGGGCACGTGTCGCGCTTACCGACACCACCCCTAAATCAGCTCGTAACCGATCGAATCACCCCGAATGAACAAACACACGAACACGTACACGTACACACACACAAACGTACCCCTCTCCGTTCTACATCTTTATACAAACCACACACGGACACGCATATACACGCAAGGAAACGTGATGTTCTCGTATTCGTCGCCCTCAAAACAGTCCTTTTAACATATGCATACGTGATTCGAGACCGAAGTTGTTTTTTTTTGTTTTTCCTGTTTGTCTTTCGTTTCCTCCTCCGACGTTCTCCTCTCTTTGCCGAGGCGGGAACCTAAAATAATTCCTGAAACCAGCCCTCCACGCCCCCGCCCTCACCCCAGCCCGTCCAACGTACAGTCCCCCCGAGATTCCCGATGCCCTCTTTACTCCCCCAGCCCCAAAGCGAACTAGCGTTGATATTCGTAATACTTGTTATGCATAAACTACACATAATGATTATTATAGTAAACGATACATAAAGTATGATATATTTCTCTATCCATTAAGAAAGAGGATTACAAGCAGCTGTTGTTTCTGGTGGAACAATGAGAAACAAAGGCAGACAAAAAATCGTAATAATATCGATGAAAGAGAAAAAATACAAAATACCGAAAGTGTACTCTATTACATTGCAAAGGATACAACAAAAAAATAAAAATACACGCAGCCCCGCATATTGCCCAGTGAGCACGACATTTTGTACGCTTGGGAGTTGTGAGGTCGTCTGAATAAACATTGTCTGGTGAATTATACAGAAAAAATATATATACATCTTGTCTCCTTATTTATGCGAACCCGAGATAATACCCTCTCTCGAACGGAATACTCTTCGATCCTGACCTCGCGTTTATTTCCCCGAGCAGAAAAGAAAAGCATCTCCTCCGCGCGGAAACGCTCGTTTCACGTCTGTTCTTCGCGGGTTCGTTCGATGCTCTTCGCTGCTGTTCTCAACGGTCGCAAGAAAGTCCTTGAAGAGCGATACGTTCGAGAGCTTGAAGTTCTTCGAGCGAAGAACGCGACGCTTATAGTGTATCAAAAAATCGAAAAGCCGTTTTTTCCTTCCAACGCAGAGAAATTAATGATCCATTTATCTTCGATTTTGTGAAATATCTTTACGCAAATTTTAACAGACGAAACGTAAACGAACCGATTAATTAGCATTATCTCGAACAGTAGTTGAAGAGAGACTCGACGATCTCTTGAAAGCGCGGAAATTTTTTAAAGGAAGAACAAATGATTGTAACAAACGCGTTGTAACAAAAGTCATTGAAATAAAGGGCTGTCTTCGATTTCGTGTCGACAACTTTTATTTACCGAAATTCGAGCGAATTTTCCGAGAACGAGGTCGCAGGGAAATTTCCAATAAACGAAATAAAGAATCGATCCGCGGCGAAGGAAGAAACGTCGACGCGCGATACACGGAGCGTGGCAAAAACACCATCGATCGCAGAGGAGGAGATAATTTGATCCAGCCTTGGGGAAGACCGCCGTTTCCACCGTGGACTGCGAACGAATTTTTATCGCGGGCCTGCAACAGAAATCGAGACGATAAGTAAGAGTACGAAAAAGATGGGACGAGAAAAACCGAAAGCGAAACGAAAGTGGTGTTCGTATAGTGATGCCCCGGCACAGCGCACCGTTCGCATAGCGTTTCGAGTCCTCGCAAGAACTTCCCGGGCTCCTTTGTCCTCGAAAACAAAGTCGCCGCGATTAATTGTTTCACGGTTCTACGCGCGGTTCAAGGGTGTCTCTTATTTTTGCTTTACGATTTGTCGGGGGCGAACGTTTTGCAGCGAGCATAGGTGCATGATCGAGCGGAGCGGAGAGATCGTGGGAATGAATCGCGGATGATCATTTCTTTCCTGCATTCTAGCGGCGGCAAGATTTTGCCTCGGAACGGCTGCAATTAGGCCAGCTGTTTGTTAAACGACGGAATTTCATCGGGTAAGTAACCTTCCTCAAAGTACGTACCTTCATCAAATTATGCGGCACTTTTTTAACGCAGCGAGTTATAACGTTATCTACGCGGTGTTCTTTTTTCAAGTCTGAGAATTCAGCGAAAAGAAATATTGAGAAAAAGTGATCCGGAAAAGTGTAGACCCGCGATGAAAATGATGTCGAACTTCCAAATACTTTTTATACGACGAGGACGACGAGCTCGTGCTTTTTTTTTAAACCTTTCGTTTTTTTTTAAAAAGAGGTTGGCGGTTTTAAATGTCAGTATCGATATCGAATAAAATTTACTTTCGTTTCTTGAAAACTCGTAATCGCCTTTTTGTTATGCTACGTGAAATAAATGTGTATTTTTGTGCAATATTTTTATAAAATACATATTAAAATACAATTCAATATCTATTTTTATAAAATATATATTAAACCGAATAAAATTTACTTTCGTTTCCTGAAAACTCGTAATCATCTTTTTGCTAAGCTACGCGAAATAAATATGTATTTTCGTGCAATATTTTTATAAAATACATATTAAAATACAACTCAATATGTATTTTTATATAAAATATGATATATATTAAGATACAACCTAATATGAATTTTAATAAAAAATACAGCTTAATATGAATTTTCATAAAATACAACTTAGTATGTATTTTTACAAAAATACAATCCAATATGAATTTTTATAAAATATAACTTAATATGTATTTCTATAAAATGCAACATGATATGTATCTTTATTTGCAATATTTTTCCAACAAGTCCACGTGGAGACAGATACTTCGCGAAAATCGAGGGTGGGTGGATATTAAAAATGCGTTATTTTATTAGCTCACGAAAAGATTGCAGGCTTTGTTACCCGAGAGTATCAAAAATAATACTGATAAAAAAGGTAACTAGCATTAGCGAAGAGAAAGATAGTTAAACAGATCACCGAAATTGCCAGTTATCGACGACATCGAATCGACTCTAGAAAGAATGCGAAAATAGGATTAACGAAGCAGGATAGGAAAGCTGCTGGCACAATATACGTCTGTTAAAATGCATAGAAAGTGAATAGGAATATGAAACGGTTGGCAAATATTTAGAATTTCTCCAATCCTGAAATTCCTAACGCTGTCGCCTTTACCGTTTAACTCGCCGCTGCTCGATACCGTTCCATCATCATCGTTCTCTTCGACAGACACCGTACGCGTACGGATTTGCGTCACACACACCC